CCTCCCCCTTTCCCCCCTCTCCTCCCCCTCTCCCATTCATTGCTCATGTTTCCTCCCTGTACTATCGTTAAGGTAAATGAGGGGATAAAGTATAACAGCATGCTAGCAAAGGAGGACCCCTTCTGCTATTATTTTGTTTCTTTTGTTTCTTTGACTTTATTAGTGTTTTCCATTTCTCAAAGCATGACTGTGTCTTACTCGTCCTTATGCGGGTATCATGTAGAACGACGATGGTATAACTGATAGATGGGCTTAGCTCTACTTCCCACAGCAGCGCTCTTAAACTAGTTTAGGCAGTTTTCAAAGTTCTAAACACATGTTGGCTGGTGGTTGGCGGGTGCCCTGGTATGGTTTGCTCCTTCTTTCCTATCAAACATGTATCGTTCTGATCTCTCCCCCTTCTTTTTTGTGTGTTTGTTACTCTCTTGTAACATCTATAATCTTCGGTGGGTGGTTGGCGTGCGCTCTGGTGTGGTTTGCTTCTTCTTTCCTATGAAACATCTATCGTCCTTATCTCCCCTTCTTCTTTTTTATTTTTGTTACTCTCTTGTAACATCTCAAATCTTCTGGCGTTCATATGATCTTATGCAGTTGCGAGCGCCGTAAAACCTCTACTAAAACTAACTAACTATAATCTTCGGCACTTATATGACCCTATTGTGTTGCAAGTGCCGTAAAATTCGTACTAAAACTAAACACACATATTGCTCTGTCCTATCGATATATCGGAGATGGGCATTAGATTCGGAAGTCGGCTACTTTAACTCCTAGTATACCTTATGCAAGTTCAGATGGCTCACGGCAACCATCTGTTGTTTAGTCAAGGTAAAAATCTATCAAACCTCATCAAATTCATTTTCTTTACAATCTGTAATGCTTTCTGCTTGGATCATTCATTTCTACTCGGTTTAGACTTTATATTATTCAAATGTGTTAAATAGGAGCAGCCAAATGGTTAGGCCATTAGACCCGTAATCGTGATAGTGTGGGGTCGGTGGTTCGAGCCTTAGCTCGATCCGACGTTGTGTCTTTGGGAAGGGCACTTTACACGAAATTCCAATCTGGCTCGGTCCTTTCGGAGATAGACGTTTGACTAGTAAGTCTCGCTTCTTAAATAACCTACTAGTGTTGATAGGGACGTTAAACCTACACCATTTCAGCATCTTTTGTTAAATAGGAACGGTGTTACTTGGAATTCATGTTGTGTTTAAAATTTGAATGACAAAATTGATTGCGTACAAAGGAGGAGCAATTGCCTACCGTATACTAAGAGTTAATAAGCTTATCGTGTTGAAATGGTTGTTGAATCCATGCTTTGTCTGAGCTACCCATAAAGAAGAGGATATTATAAACAGTGTTTGTCTAAGGGTGGTTAGTGTGGTTTGCTTCTTCTTCCTATCAAACATCTATCGTCCTTATCTCCCCTTCTTCTTTTTTATATTTGTTATTCGCTTGTAACACCTCTAATCTTCTGGCGCTCATATGACCTTATGCAGTTGCGAGCGCCGTAAAACCTCTACTAAAACTGAAGGGTTAGTCTAGAACACCCAGCAGTAGGCTCGTTTCGTGATCCTCTGCTGTCACTGTTCCAAGGCTGCACATTTAACCTAATAATCTGACAGAATTCCAGTGACAACTTGTCCATCCCCACCCCAACCTGAATGAAGCCTTTTCGGTTAAAAGGATCTACATGCACTTTTAACATTGACACCATTTACACAGGATGGCTTTGGACCGAATGGCTGAATACATAAGGATGAAAGATTAACAACAATAAGGACAAAATGAACACTAAGAACTAGTACAGTATTAGCAAATTGTGGCATGACAGGCGTGGATGGCGACGCCGATTATCAATGGATATAAAAATATCAGCTGAAAGCAAGTCATTCATTTCCCCCTCTCCTTTCTCTCTCTTTTTTCTCTTCCCCCCTCTCTCTCTCTCTCTCTCTCTCTCTCTCTCTCTCTCTCTCCCTCTCCTTCTCTCTTTCTCTCTCTATCTATCTAATATCTATCTCTATCTCTTACCCTCTATGTTATACTATATTGGTCTGATCATGGTTAACAGACTATGCGCTCGTCTGAAAATGTATCTAACATCTATGAATAAATAATTTTATGCTACTTCCGTGTTGCTGCGTTATCATTAATTTATTTAAAAAAATATAGTGGATCGTGTGTTTCCTCGAATCAATTTTTGGTGTAAGTTTTTGTGTTTATTTGTTTGTTTGTTTGCTTGGTTGGTTGGTTGGTTGGTTGGTTGGATTGTTGAATTGTGTGTTCTTTTATTTGTCTGTGTTTGTGTTTAACAATTATTAACATGCATGTTCATCATGATATCATTAGAAAAGAACGCGAAGTATGAGCCGTTTACTTCGTTCCCATGGCCTAAAACTAAATACACGCGGGTAGTTTTGTATTGAA